AAACTTATTAACAGTATTTTTTAATAACAATATTTATAATTTTAATTTAAAGTAAAATTAAAGTAAATATCTAGTTATTAATAATATTTATAATAACAGTAATTATTAATTATAATCACTAATTATATATTTATTAAATTACTGTAATAATCAGTAATTATTGTTATCTTTTATATATATATATATATATATATATATATATATATTAATAGGAAACGGGTGCTCAGATGTGGGATCTACTCGTATGAGTAGATTCCATTTCCTGGATGCAAAGAGCACCCATTTCCTATTAATAGATATATATATTATATATCTATATATATATATAGATATATAATATATATATATATAGATAAGATATAGAATTGGGCTAAATGGGCGGAACTATGATTTTTTCTTGAGGGCTAAAAAGGTAGTAAATATGGATATAGGGGTGCAAATGGATCGGGTCATGCAATATGAGATTTGATTCTATTTAGTCAAATTTGGATTGCTTTGATAAGATCTTTGAGATCGGATTTGGATCACCCCCATCCGATTCGAAAAGCTCCGATCCGATATATGTTATATATTTATTTATATAAATATATAATACATATATATGTTATTTATTTATAAATATAATATTTATATTATATTTTTATAAGTTTGTTATATTATTTATTTTTTTTATAAAAATCATGTATATATATGATGAAAATAATTAAAAATATTTGTATTTTTTGTTTTTTCTTTATTTAAATTGATATATTTTATTTTTCTTTTAATAATTTGTTTTTCTTTATTTAAAATGTAAGGAAACCTTTACAAACCTTGTATTAGTTTTCTTGCCTTTTCTTTCCTTTCCCTACCTTTTCCTTCAAACCAAACATGGCCTAAAGGAGAACATTTTTTTCCATCATGGAATCAAGGTGGTAATGAAAGGTTAAAAATGGGTTTAAGCAAAATTAAAAATAAAATTTTGAAAGATTTAATGTCTAATAGAGAAAATTACATTTGGGTAACCTATGCTATAGTGAAACTTAACGGCCCCAACCTTCAAGTGCAACAACCATCTTGAATTTTTAAAAACTATACCATAAAAAGCCCCTTTTGATGCAACTTGAAAAAGCCCCTTTTGAAAACTATACCATAAAAACCTGGGATTTTTGGCCTTGACAACCCTTAAGATTTGTCCAAAAAAATCAAACCCTAAAAGAATACCATTTTTTCCCTTAAATTATGATAGAAATGCCATTTTAAGGAAAAAATATATGACGTTAAAGACGTTGTTTATGGATTCATTAGACAATGAATAAAATAATAAAACATGCTTATGTGGCACCAATGTTTTCAACCCACTATTGATTCAGTAGATCGAACCGTTTGAACCATCACTAGGTCAGGATTCCGAGTCCGGTTTAGTCAAGACCTATCATATGGTCAAAAACCATTGGCTTAGTCATGAACCATTCGACCCGACCAGTTCAACCATTGACCATTCGGCTTGGTGACCAGGTCACGAGTTGCACACTCAATGCATTTCAGAGGCCATAACTTAGCACTCTGATGTCAGAGTAGGGTGGTTTTTTTTTTATTTTGGGTAACTTTTCGAGATTTATGCACCCCAAGGAACTCTAGGCGTCTTGCCCCACTATTTTCGTGAAAAAAAAAAACCTTTTTTAGCCTCAAATTGTAATGTTTAATATTTTTATAAATAAAAATTAAAAACATAAATTAAATATAAAATAATACATATAACATATCTAAAACATATTTATACACACACAAAGGTAACCCGCGACCTAGAGGCAAAAACGATTTAGCCTCTAGGTCGGTTTTTAAAACATTGTGTGGCACTACTAGTAAAAAAGAAAGAAGGGAAATTACATGCTACTTTATACCCAAAAGTTTGAAAATGCCACTTTAGCATGGTGTTTGGAAGAGTGGGCACTTTAAGGGACCGATTTTCAAGAAAAAAAACCCATGCTTCCAAGACCCGTTTTTCACAAAAAAAAATGCTTTTGCCACATAGGCATTGAGCAACACTATGCTGCTTGGTAAGGTGATTTTCATCACCATTTTTCATGTATGTGCTGACAGGTAAGCACCACATAGGATA